TAGAGTCATGTCAGTTTTATCAACTTGATTCAACATAATTATAGAGTCATGTCAGTTTTAGCAACTTGATTCCAAGAACGTAAACTGTAAAATGTAGCTAATCAGTGAACATTTTGTAAATATTTCTACAAATTTTCAAAATGTATACTCAGATTAACTGCTTGTAATTGGGGAATAATTGCACTAAAATCTTTATATATATATTGCGATTTCCAGCATCAAACGCTGCAAAAAATCCTTAAAACTCTCCAATAACTTTCAACTAAAAATATCTGTACAATCTTTGTATTACACCTTAGATTTCTAGGAAATACAGACTATCATAAATCTACCAAAGACAGGAGGGGAAAGAGATTCCAGAGATTTCGATATCTAATCAAGTTGAAAAGAAGCGATAGCACTTATTATCTTCCTTGAAAGTATTTCAGAAAAGTTTATCTTTTTTTTTCCTGAAAACCTCCCAGTGGCACAGAGGTATGTCTGCGGACTTACAACGCTAGAATCCGGGTTTCGATACCCGTGGTGGGCAGAGCACAGATACCCCATTGTGTAGCTTTGTGCTTAATTAAAAATAAACAATTTTCCTGAAAAGCTTGAAAAACGAGAAGAAATAACTCACACAAGATGACACAGAATGTGTCACATCAAACAACTTTTCTTCACAAATGTAATAACGTAGTTTGTTTCTTGACAATTACAACCAAGGTTGTTGGAACATCGAGAGTTACCTATAACACATAAAAGTAATGTCAGTTTTTCTTGCCCCTGTACAGAAGCTTATAGCTAGCAGAATTGGAGCTTTTCCCAGAAACAAACCACCACGTGCTATTTTGTTCGTGTTCAAGGCTTAGGTATGCTGTAATCAACATGTTTCAGTTGAAGAAACAGATCTGATAAATACTTAAGGCTTGGAAAAACTATCTATTTTCAATACCTTTATATTTAATAGTTGTAAGGAGACTTTAAAATGATTTAAGGAAAAAAAAAGGACGATCATTCTTTTATTGACAATGCTGATGCCTTTGACACAACATATCGTAACAACACAAATTAGGGATTTGTCAATGATTTTGGTACAATGCTGAATATTAGCACTTTAGTTCCATGTTGTCATCCACGATATTATCGTTCAGTGACAATGTAATATGATATATATATATATTAGGTTTATCCACCCTATTCCTATTGTAATCAAAGATGAAATTATTTCATTATTTCAGTTGCAACGTAGAACATCCTTTAACTTCTTACTATTGTCATCTGAATTCGTTTTTGTACGTAAAATATATATTTTAAAATATTAATTATTCAGCTACTAAGACAGATGGTAATCCAAAGCACGCATTTCGTTTATTCCTTAAATGATCAATATGAATTGTTTCCCCGGAGGGACAGCGGTAAGTTTACGGATTTACAACGCTAAAATCCGGCGTTCCATTCCCCGCGGTGAACACAGCAGATAGCCCTATGTGTCCTTGCTCTAAAACAAACAGATGAACAAATCAAGTTTTAAAAAACGGAGAATCAAACGGCTAATTTCTATGAACATCGTGAAGAACTAAGCATAACTAATAATTTAAAAAAGATACTTTAAACGTTTTATTAAGTTATAATTAGCTGCTTGTTTCAGTGTTTTTTAAGCGAAACAACAACGTTCTGATATTGATAAAAAAAAAAAGATGAATCCATTCTCAGAACGAAATACGATATTGAAGTAGACTCACTGCAGTGGAGTAAGTATGCCCCCCCCCTAGTTCCCACAAATGTGGGGGCCCGAATAGTAACTACATTTATAGAGAAGTAAATGTAAGGGGACCACTTACGTTTTATGGGAGGGGGGCCATCTTTTGTAGTTATGTTACTGAGTCACTACAGTGATGTAAGTATGCCCCCCCTAGTTCCCTCAAATGTAGGGGCCCGAATCGTAACTACATTTATAGGGAAAAAATATAGGGAGCCCACTTACTTTTTATGGGAGGGAAGCTTTCTTCTATAGTTACGCCACTGAGTTACTGCTTTGGTTCAGAGTCTAAAAAAAGTGTGAAAGATAATTTTTATTCTTACATCTTGTTACAAGATTACTGTTAAAGTAAGATAAGTAAAGCGGAGTAGTTTTCAACAAGTTACTCCTTTTCAACAAGTTACTCCTTTTCAACAAGTTACCCTTTTTTCAACAAGTTACCCCTTTTCAACAAGTTACCCCTTTTCAACAAGTTACCCCTTTTCAACAAGTTACTCCTTTTCAACAAGTTACTCCTTTTCAACAAGTTACCCCTTTTCAACAAGTTACCCCTTTCCGTTTACAGCCTCCAATGAAACCATTATTTTCTAGTATTATTTAAATATTCATTTTCATATTAAATACTTCATTAATTCCTTTTTAAACTTGGGCGATTTTTATAACCATGTCATTCAATACATTCCTACTTGGTTTAACACTGAAAAACCTAACGTGTATTTTTCAGTAACGTTTGCTGACGGATAGGACAGTAAAAAAAAACATATCATGATACTTTTGAAATTACTTTTATACTAAGATATAAATAAAACTGACAGATGTATTCTATTTCAGAAAGAAATTTCCGTAACATCATCAAATTGAATGTCTATCACACACTTGATACTTTGGCATCGTCATTTTCCAGGATGGTTGCTGCTTTCAGAACGAAATTTGTTTAGTTCATTTATAGGTTTCAACACAATAATAAAAGGAATTAGCCGCGTCTATCGTGTCTGTGACAATCGGTAATCATATTTTTCCAGAAACAACTAATTTCTTTTTTTATCATTCCTGTCTAAAGTGTGCCTAATATCTTGAAATACATATCATTCAATAAACAGTATAAAAACACCTAAACTCAAATTTTGTTTAATGTTGTGTTAAAAATATTCTCTGCTCATTAACTAAATTACGAAGTATGATTTGGTTTTGTCTCTACCTGGACTGAAACACAACTGAGGTGAGTAATTATATTTTTTGCGACTTTTATTTTAAATACCCATACATATGTATATATATATAATATTACTAAGCTTGAAATTATAAGGACAAGTCTGACAAACTAAAGCAGATTCAGAATAGTGTTTTGATGTAGATTTATGCTTTAACGAACTACTTTGTTTGCTTGTTTGTAATTAAGCACAAAGCTACACAATGGGCTATCTGTGCTCCCACCACGAGTATAGAAACCCGGATTCTAGCGTTGTAAGTCCGCTGACATACCGCTGTACCACTGGGGGAGGGTGAACTACTTTAGACACCTTGAGTTCAAAAGACGTTTGTAATTTTCACTCTTACATTACTTGCATCAGCCTAATTTATGCTTCATTGTCTTTCATAGAATAATATTTTAATTAATATTATTATTTATTATTATTATATATATAATTTGTTTTATTTTATTGTTTATTCGTTTGTTTTTGGATATTAGTTAGGGTTATATCCGCTACCAGTCCCTAATTTTGAGCTGCCCCATCGCAAACTTTTGTGCAACTCTGAGCGAATAGAAGGGTTTTCCTATCATTCTCCTAACGAATAAACCGTCCTAAAATGTAGAATGCAATTTTTTCGGCAACGGGACGCGAACCGTGAACTTCCAGATTCTAGCTAACCGTTAGGCCACGCTGGCCCAGTTTATTCTATTTATTTATTCTAAACAGTAACCTAAATATTAACATTATCTTTACAAGTAAGCTATACTTTTCTGGGTGTTCCAGAATATCAAATAAAAGTTTACAAGTTTTCAAATCAGCATTTTTTCTACTTAGGCTATTTCTATGTTAATTTTGTCCCAAACTAATTTTTAGTACCTAAATTTCCTACTATTATGAGTGATTCTTGTTCAGAGCTTTTATTTTTCTTCTGGAGACTTGAAAATATTTGTCTGTATGTACACATGTGTGTGTGTGTGTGTAGTTGCTATCTCTGAACAACAGTATGTTAAGTTGTATTCGAATTTCCACAAATATAATGGGAAAATGAAATTTAGACCTGTGTGGTCCTACTTGGCAATGCCCTATATTTGTCCATGTTCTTAAGTTCTGAGAGTGAGTCTAGCTAGAAACCCGAGCAACAAACAGGGCCATTCCTGGCCTGGCCAGGTTATGACGTAGAAGGGCAGAGAAGGGAGTTTTTCAGAGCGATTGCCAGAAATCCGACACTGTTCGTGGAGAGGAAGAAGGAAGTGACGTCAGAAAACTACAACCAATAATAAGTGACCCGAAGAAGCTCTGGTGAATCGGTTTTCATCTGTTAGTAGCAGAGGTTTTTCAGTCTTCTCAAAGTTAGGGCTTCATCTTGACGTGCAGCTTATCTCTCGCTCGACCGGATCACCATGGAGGCTATCAAGAAAAAGATGCAGGCGATGAAGCAGGATAGGGAGAACGCATGTGACCGAGCTGATGTAGCAGAGCAACAGTGTCGTGATGCTAACGGTCGTGCAGATAAGGTAGGCTACATAATTAACATTAATTTTACAACGTACGAACGCGTAATCTATATTACTTTTCAAATACACTGTCTGATATATTTCCGTGGACTATTTCCTCCAGCTACCAGAGAAGCCCATTAATATAGAATATTTGTTTTGTTGTTAAGCGCAAAGTTACACAATGGGCTATCTGTGCTCTGCCCACCACGGGTATCGAAGCCCACCTTTTAGCGTTATAAGTCTTCAAACTTACCGCTGAGCCACTGGAGGGGGCAATACAGAGTAAGGAATATTAAAGTCATGCACTAACTTCGAAAATTGGGTCCATTATCAACCGTAAACGTTCATAAAGGCCACATTTAACAATAATTTACGTCCCCAAATTTTTCATGGCGACGTTAAAATGTACATGTATATTTTTCTTAACAAACTTTTTTTTTCGATACTATAAAACTTTACTTTTGATGGAAGTTTACCCTCGTCGAGATTCCGTTTCAAAATTGTGTAACTGTTATCCAACTTAACTGCGTTACTTACCATGTGTTATACCATCTTTAATCCAACTTAACTGCGTTACTTACCATATGTTTTACCATCTTACCCGCATATTGTCGTGGTCGCTATTCAAATATTTACACTACTTTATACCGCTTTCAGGAAATATGTGGTGAATTAATAACTGGTTTAACCTTCTTAAATCACGAGAGAAATAAAATCGATGTTTACATGCACCTGAAACTGTGTCAAGAAAACCCTGAAGACCGGTTGTTACCTTGAGTAAGACGTGGTTGGTTTAGTTAAAAAAAAAACTAGAAAGGGTTAAGTGCTCTTGTCAATGCTGCAAACAAGAAATAACTTTTAAAATAACACAGAAATCACAGATTGTTAATTATTATGACGCTCTTTGCACGTCATTCATTAATTCTGGATTTTTTTTAAAGTAAAATAATTCAGGGATCTAACTTGTGATGCTTAAGGTTTTCTGTTTTAAAGTAATAAATTCTAAGTCTAATTTATATAGAAGAAGTAAATGGTGCTGAGCGTGGCCTATTGGCTAGTGTGCCAGGCTGTGAATTGGAAAGTCCGATATTCGGGCTGCAGTATGCACTTAAACTCGCTCTGTATTTTCAGTTAAGGGGGGGGGGGGTATAACTCTGACAACAAATCACTCTTTTTTGGTTGAGAGTAACCGCATAGGTGATGAGTGTTGGTGAGTTTTAAATTAGGGATGGCTATACCTGACCTTTAAGTGGTCTCCGTGCTGGCCTTTTATTGTATACCCCATAGGCCGATCACGTGGAAAATACCAAATGTAAGATGTGAAAAATATCATTTTTTTTCCTTATTTTGTACTACACATTACCATACGTGGTGTTTCTTTAATTTTAAGACAGAACCAAAATCCCTGCTAAAGGCACCAATCTTTTCTTGTTATAAGTCAAGCAATGATCTGATCATAATATCACGAAACATAAATTTTAAGTCAAGTACACATATAATAAGCATTTTATCAATATCTTTACTGCAATATTATCGTAATTCTACGTATTTATATATAAATGTGTATATAACGTATATAAATAACGAGAAGTTGTAAAGCAAATTCTTTATACAAAATTTAAAGCTAAAAAAAAAAAACACCTCCCCCAGGAATGAGACAAGTAACTGAGCAATCTAGTAAGGAAGAACCCGCCCTACCTATAAATAGCCTATCATACTATACATGGCCATGTTCCCAGCAGAGGTAGTATCACTGGTGCCTCTCAGATATCGCCCCCAAGTGGAGAATTAGTTGAACTATTTTAACGTATAATCGCCTATGACGAGATACTTCAGAAAATAGTTTTCATCAACTTTGTTTAGTGCCATAACACTTCCTATCCAGTTTCGAACGTATAAGATATGGAAGCAGAAACCGACATTTTTAAACAACAAAATCACATGAACAAACGTAAATAATAAATAACTAACAGATCTCAGAAGATTAATTGTATAATATTAGCGCCATCTGCAAACACCGTCCATTCATTTGCATCCATCTTTATTTAGTTTTCACATCTTTATTTAAACGATTTTGAAATGATACGAAAAACTAACTATTCAATGAAGGGTTCATTATTATGAAGCATTAATTTTAAAGAAAAACCAGAACTATGTGTATTTAATTAAGTAAAAGGGGTTAAGAACTACAATATATACACACATCAGTGGTTTAATTGGCCGGATAGTTTAGGTGAGTAAAATTACCGCATGTGGTAACTGGTGGCTACAGTTGGTAAGACTCCTTGTTGCTAATTATCCTGCTGAAAAAAAAATCAATTCCAGGAAATCTTAATGTACACTAGAGGTGATGTCACACAGCTCAATACTCGTTATTCTGACCGTATTGGTTTGTCTGTTTGTTGATAGGTGCAAAGCTACACAATGGGCTATCTGTGCTGTCCTCACCAAAGGAATTGACTATCGAAACCCGGATTTTAGCGTCATAGTTTTCAGACTTACTGTTGAGGCCACTAGGGGTGGGGTGGGGGGCTTTTGAACGTTTTAGACTAGAGGACAAGAAGAAGAAAAAGTGGTTGTTTAGATAATTACAGATGTATTTTTCGCTAGAAGAAGCAAAGGGGGGTCAACTTAATTTAGCTTTTTTTTTCGACACCTTCGTGGAGAAACGGTTGGTTGTTTGTTCTTTTGTTTGCTTTAGTGCAAAGCCACTTTGGGCTATCTGCTGTGACTACCGCAAGGACTCGAACCCCGGATTTTAGCACTGTAAGTCCGTAGACTTACCGCTGTTCCACAGGAGAACCGGAACGATCGAAGCCAAAGAACAATTCGTAATCCTGTGATAATAATTATACGTATCGCGAAATTATATGAAAATATTACGCCAACAATCTCATTCATAATACATGTAACTCATACATGTTATATATATACATGTATACAGTGTGTATATAGACACAGCTTTGCTTGAAATAACTTGCCTATACGTGAACCGGAATGCTATACAGTTTACGTAATTTAAGACTTGTCTTCCCCGGGTGCCTCGTGCTGAGCGTTTCCGGTTGAAAAATAACAATCCAAGGATTACGTTTAACTAAATTAGATGACTCTTTCTGATCTTTGTTAAAAAAGAGAGAGAAATACATAGGACCTAAACAAGAAAGAAATTTCGATTTGTGTGTGAAAATCAAAATAGATATAAACTCTTGGTATTGTTTTTGGCAGAATGTGACGCACTCAATGCAACTGGGTTGTAACTGCAACGAAAAAAAACAACAACAGATATCTGAAACTTCGGTTGACAAACGAAGTTGAATGTTTCCGAATTATCTACTTTATTTTACAAATTTATTTGTATTCATGCCTCAAAGATAACACATCCTCCAAATGTTCTGTTACTTTGTACAATGTCCTTTTCAAACTCACGGATCTCTATTTAGTCTTAAGAATCACAATGGTTGTTTGTTTTGTTTTTCCAGAACAAAGCCACGTTCGTCTAACTGCTGTGTTCACCTCCGGGTATCGAAACCCGGATTTTAGCGTTGTAAGTCCGTACACTTACCGCTGACTCACCTTTACGTACTCTTTCTATGCGCGGAGGCGGTTTCACCCGCTATACTGAGCACATGTATGTATAAAACATATCTAAAATATGTTAAAACAGCTTCAGATACCACCAAAATTAACAATTTTCAGTAAAATACAAAATATTTCCGAGGGTACATGCCACTGGATCCTGTACTAT